ACACCACACATAAATGAAATAAGGGAAGGCCAGAGACTGTCCTGCAGCCGAGGCCAGTTGGCATGACCCGACCATGTTCACACCACATAGTGCTCAGCCCTGTCTCTCCCCAGGTGGTGTTGCCATGGCCAGAAGATGTATTTCTGTGGGGTGTCGTGTCGTGTCCCCCCGTCCGTCCCCCCCCCCAGTTCAAATTACCTGAAATAACATGAGGGTTATGTTATAGGCCATGAAAATGGTGTTTTCATGTGATGAAACTGAGGATGTGTGCGGCATGCCCCCTGGTCATGATGGATGTGTCTGAGGGTAGAAGGCCAAGGTACGATTGTTTTCTTGAGCTCTGTAGGTTAGGAGAGGTAAACCTGGTGCTGTCTTGACCATAGCACTTATCATAAACAGTCTCATATGTGTGCCTTGCCCCTAAACATGGCCTGGGGGACCATATAAACCTGAATTGTTCTTAAATGCTTCCCCAAAGGCTTTTGTGACCAACAGAGCCAGGATACTGTGCTAGACGGACTCTTGGCCTGAGTTAGTATGACTCTGCTGTTGTTATGTTCTGATACCTTGCTTCTTCAATTTAGGAAACAAAAGGAAACATTTTGGCCTGCATTTTGGATTTTTTGGTTAAGCATAGTAATTTTTAATTTCTGTTACTTGCATCCTAATAAACCTTTTCAAACTGTGCTTTGGGATACAGGAATTCCTCTTTTGCTTTTTTACTTGTCCTGAGTAAAGGCTAATTTTAAAGTCACTGGGTAAAATTACACGTTCCATCCCCGCAGCGGTGCCAGTCCCAAAAACTAGAATACAGGGGTACTAACTACTGTTCAGCATAGTTCTTCAAGCTATTTGTAACTTTGCACATGCCAGTTTAGCAGTTGGTAGCACAGGGATGTGAAAGAAAGAGATGTATTTTAGTGATGACTGGTGGCCAGCCAAGCTCTCTGGAAACGTGGTATAGCTGTGAAAAACACATACAGGTCTCAAGAGTAATTATAAGTTTGTCTTTGCTCAGGCATTTTGGCAGGTTCCTACTGGGTCACACAAATATGGGAGATTAGTTTCATTTACAGTTTACTATTAATTTACATGTTTTAAGTGCTACTTATCACTACATTTACCTATATTTTTATACATGACTTTAGACATGCTTACTGTGAGAAGAAACAATCTCCATATGCAATACTTTGATAATGCTTCTAATATGGAAAATCTTTTCCAGCCACTTAGATTTAGCATAGAGGCAGACACCTACTCCAAAAAGAGAGATGTGCCTTGCCTAGATTACTGGTAATAAATACGGTCATAACATCCCTTCAGTCAATGCACAATAAGCAAAAATTTCATGGTTTGTAAACTTGTAGTTACAGTGTTGAACAAACATACAACCAATTTGTGTTTAAATGTCCCAGATCGACAGTTTTTGCCTGGCAAGCTGAAGATGTGTTCAGCTGAGGGCTAAGGGAGTCATTCATCCCATCAGAATGGGGGAATATGTTGACATAAGAAAAATCCAAGGGAATTGCAGGATCTTCGCTCCAAAATGCCCTGGGAAATGTTCAATCATCTCCCTGTTCCCTCATCCTTTTTATAGTGGCATCATGGTATGCTAATTTTGTGAAAAATGATAGAAATTTATCACAATGTATGCAATGTATTTGAGCCTGATATGACAAAAAGTAAACTGAACTTTTCCAGCACTTCCTCAATTCGTGTGAATGTGCAGAATTTACTGCTTGCTTGATTTGCCATCTGGATTGGAAGCTAAGCAGACGATTATTGTAAACTAGCACCTGAAAAATCTACACTTCTCTAAACATTTTTCATAGAAAAGTCCTTTACAAGTTTATAGTAAAAATTTACACATCAATTGACACACATTTCATAGCTGATGCTGTGAGAAATAGAAGCTGCTGCCAAGATTTAAATGCACGAAAATCAAATGTAAATGTAAAATCCTATTACATTTCTTAAATGGAGCAAAGCAGTTATTTAAAAGAACACTTTAATATGCAGCTATAAAATTTAATATTCTGTCTGAACAATTTTTATATATACATAAGCTAAAAATATGCATTCCTTAGAACTATTTATGCAACTTTAATAGAGTGGAATTTTTATTTGTAAGTATGAGTTTTAAAAGATGCAATTTTAACATCCTATTATTGCATTTTTCCCAAGTGCTCTAGGAGTTAATGCTGTTCACTATTTAATTATTTTTTAAATTAAAACAATATTCAGTAGTCTCTGTGCTCTGAGTTTCAACTATCCTTAAGTCACAGGTTAGGTTTTTCATTACCACAAGCAGCTGTGTTGTATGAGCTTCCTATAAAGTAGCCAAACTCCATGTTAAAGGGAATTTATTTTTTTTTTCCTTTTTGATTGATAGCCACACTGCCTTTATTGAGGGGATGAACTTCATGGCTCTATGGTTAGAAACTGTTTTCTAATGTCTAGTTCTTATCCATTTGTTTACATCACTTGTTTCTACCCCACGGTTACACTTTCAGGAAAAATATCATATTCTTTATTGCCCTTTCTTTTTCTCAGCTAATGAGGTTCCTCTTGTAAATGTTCTCTATTTCCATCAACTGCCAAGTAGTCCTTCTTAGCACCTGGTCCTGAAAATTGATGATCAGAATTGTACACATTCTTATTAAAAAGGTTGCTGTACAGTACTATGCCAGAGTATTAATATTTCCCTCTCTCCATTGGCAATTATTTACCTACTTTGCCCTCAGAATACATTTCCTTTTTCACAGCACAAGGCACTGATGGTTCCTAGACACACTGTGATCAACTGACATTCACAGATCTTTATCATCTTCAGTCATTTCCAGAAGATGTGCTCTCCCTAAATCTAACAGTAAAATTCCAATAGTGTGTGATGTGGCCCAAATAATCTGATTTCTGTATGTGCTAAGAGCATAGTACTTCTGTTGATTTGCATAGGATTATCTGTTTCAAGGATCACGCCAGAAGAAATTCAAACTCATTGTATGTATAGTATTTCTGATAAGAAGTGTAAGTTTACAAGGATATCAGGTTTGCCAGATAAGACTGAGCATGTGCACTGAATCCAGATGACCTGAGCATCCAAATAATGTAAATGTAAGTCAAAATCAGAGTTGATTCAGGTCGTCTCTTGGCAAGGGGATGCAGTTGCTCTTCAAGATTTTTAAGACTCCAAAATAAGTCTCCTGGCTCTGTTTGGAACTACATGACCTTCTGCCAGAGAAAGAAACTTCTGCACTACTCTTGGGCAAATTTTTCCCACTTTCACACCATTCCTCTGAGTTTTTTAGGCAGCTGCTATTAGTGAGCATGCCTCTCTACCATTTCCATTACACTATAGGTTGCTCCACCATCCAGTCAGATTTAACATATTAGTTCATTATTAATGATACCTGGATGTCATGAAAGACTCCCTCATGTTCATGTTGAGGAAAGCTCTTGACAAGTTTACCTACCTGGCATAGTAAAACAATGTCACAGTAATAAAATCTCACCCTATTCTAGAAAGGAATTAAGGGCAAAATACTCTTCTTCAACCTGCCATCCCTAATATGATCTCAGAGAACAGTGCACTTAAAAAGCCTCCACAAAACCCAACCAAAAGAAAACAACCCAACATCTCAACGAATATTGGTTCACCACATCAGATTATAATGCAAGGACAGAGGAAAAATGAAATAGAAGTAATGGACTAATTAATTAAACTTCATTGCTTAATTTGCTACCAGAAGGCATTCAGGTACAATATGATGAGGCTAAAATTAAGAACCCACATTAGAATAGGACTACCTTTATGTAAAAAGAAGATCCCTGAGATGGAAGTTATTTTTTGAAATATTGGAATTCATAGAATATGAATTAAAGACATAATAGAAATATATCTCCAAGGGCACTGTATAAATTCTTATTCTCATTTGTGTCAATAAAAACACAGCAGCATTTCACCAGGTAGGTCTGCCTCCAGTAAAATACTTTAAGCTCCATTTACAGTAGGGGGAAACTTGAAATCTTCAGTTATATTGAAGTAATGGCAGCCATCATTCTCTTTAAACACCAAATATGCTCACCTTGATATTCTCAGGAAATTTTCAGTTAGTAAGTTGTTTGTTTATAAGAGACTAGTGTAAGCTAAGGCAGAAACCATTATTGATTAAAAACAGCTACACTTTTACCAAAAGGGAAGCAGTACATGTATGTATTTCACCTAAACATAATCCATAACATAAAAATAAAATAATGCCATTTAAAAAAGCTCTTAGAACAGTCAACATTTCAATAATTTTGAAACAAAGAAACAGAAAATTAAATTAAATGAACAGATGAATCACAAGGATACAAAGTAAAACAGAGTTATGTGAATATTTTTCTTGATGAGTAGTCAACACTGCAATGGAATTTCTTTTATTAAATGCCACTTCACAGAACCATGGCTCCATATGTGTGTTATAATGGAGAAGCCACAACCAGCATTGTTCCCAACATAGAGACACATTTGCCTCTTTCACTTCATCTCTCTTCAGGCAGAAAGGAATTCATAAAAATTACAAGACAAATTATCTGTATCTAAGCTTAAAGAACAAAGGCTTGGCCACTGTTTACATCAGTTTATTGGATTTGCTGGGCTATTCATGATGCTGGAGGCCCTACACCCCACTTCCAGAGAAAAAGAATGCAGGACAAGTCCTTCAGCCACCATCACTCCTCCACACCACACTAATGGGGAAGGAGATATTACTACACAGCACAGAGAAGCATAATGTATCCAGGCGACTGTTACAGGTCTGTCCTAGAAGACACAGCTCTGGGACATGAATTAACTTTTATTAAATTGTTTGATCAAGAGATCCCATAAAGGATTATTCTGCAGGGAAAGCCTTATTCTGGCAACGTCTGTAGCATGGTATTGTTATAAACCAAAAGACTAGATCTACAAAGAACTGCTGCCACATTTCAGGTCTTAAAAAATAATGTCATGCATTTACCTGCCCCCATTATGAGCCCTGGTGCAGTGTCCTTCGTGTGGACTGTTCCTGACACATAGGGATTGTCTGCCCAGCGGAGATGGAGGTGAAGGTAGCAATCAGGCTTGTGGGGGAAGAAAAAGAAGAAGACGACAGGTTTGAAAAATAACTGGTAACAGTTATGCTCCTACAATAATGAAAGCCCAGTCAGAGACAGCTTCAGCAATGTATGTCTTTGTAGAGAAAGAGAATGGCTGTTTCCCATGGAGCCACATTCCACTCCGAAAAACCAACCTTAGCCTTCTAACAAGAATCTCTGGTGATGTCTGCATAGTGTGCCACCATCTCAACAAAAAGATCTCCAAACTCAAAGAAGTCAGGATGAAATTATTGTATAAAAAAACCCTCTGACAGAATAATTGCTTAAAAATGCTAACTAGCAGCAACAAGTATTGCATGTTTGTTGGTTCAAGGTAATTGGTAAAATGATGATTAAAACCAACTGTTTGTACTGAAATTTCTTTTTTAGAAAAAAAGCGGTATGAAAAACAGCATAATGACTTTTGGATACATCTAATCATTTCTCCTTGCTAAGCAACTTACTGCTTCTTGCTCTTTCTGAAGCAGCACTCAAAGCTCATGCAGCTCACAGCAATCTGGCCATGAGCTTTACCAGGAGCGGGTGCCAGCACCGCCCGGGAGCTGCTGCCACTGCGATCTTTCCACTCGTCTCAGAGAGCTCTGGATCAGGCCCTGCAGGCTTGAACCACGTAGCATGGTCTTGAACTCTTCAAAAGGGAGCCAGCAGCTCCAGCCCTCCACTTCTGCTACATGGAGAGGGATCAAAGCTATGGCAGTGGCAGGAATAAAAGCATTTATTTTGCCCAGCAATGCAGAGCTTGGAGTCCCCAGGAGCAGAGAGTCAGTGAGAAAAATACAAGGTTTTCAGCCTCACAGGTAACAAAATATTATGGGTAGCTGGGGCACCTAAACAAACTGAAATCACATCATCTCACAAAAAGAAAGGACTTTTTCACGCAGTTAACTGTGGTGTTTATTTGCAAGCAACTGTCAAGAGTTCCCTTTAACAGGGAACCAAGGGTTACCTTGGTTTAAGATGAAACAAAACTATGAAAGATGGAAAAGGAGAAGGCATTGGTATGCTCTATTTGACTGATGATGTGCCCCTTATATCCAGACACAAATGACTGTTGTCATGATTATTCTGAACTGGGTTGTGAGGTTGACACACAAGAAAAAATGTCCTCTTTGTGTCAAAGTGATCTAAAATACGAAATGCAGTGCAACAGAGAGTCCTGACTACTCTACAAGATGACTGGACTAACAGCTTGTGAAACCACTGCTCAGGCAATGCAAGTGCATTTGCCTAGTAGTTTGGCTGGTAAACTCGGCACAAAGCTCTTGGGCTGTTGGAACTCCTGCACATCCTACCATACACATAATTCTCGTGCACTTTAGAGAAAGGATAGGCTAAAAAGAGCGACTTACAGGTTTGCAGTTTGTCGGTTTGCCATTCATATCGATGTCTGGAGGGTTTAGAAAATCCCAGTCACGGCCTTTGTTGTAGGTTATCAGAGTTGTAACTTTCCCATCAATTTTCTGGTTGGCCAAAAAGACTCCTTTGACACCTCTGACCTGAAGCATACAGGAGGGAGTTAATGACCAGCACATACACATTTTTTTCAACAAGGATTATCTCCGATTAGCTGCTCTTTTGTGGCTCCTCAGGTAGTTTCTCCACTAGAAAAGTGAATGATACCTTAAAAAAAATAAGGAAGGCAAAAGGATAAGAGGAAAGGGAGAAAGGCGGAAGGGGAGGACAATTACCAACAGATTTGTATTTCTAAATGTATTTTAAAAGGATATACAGTTCTCTCAATGTCGAATTACATGTAGTTTATACAGCAAAATACAAAAATTACAATAGCATGGCCTTACTGTACACTGCTGTTAAAATTACAGCTCTGCATTTTTTTAAATATGGACAGCTCTAAAATGTTATTCTACAAATGATGTAAGCAATTTATAACAGCAACCTGACTTTTACACTGAAGTCACGTGACCCATGTCATAAAAATAGTACACAAATAGGTTACAATAACAAAATACAATATAATATCTTTTAAAATAACACTGAATTAGCAAGCACAATTGCCTTTTGTAGGAAATAAATGCAGACAGATCATCCAGGGAAGAAACTGTGAGGGCTTAATCAACCTCTCAAGCATCCAAAATGCTTCCACACCCAGTCCACCTCCACACATTTAGCCTCCCTTCACCTGTTTAACCTTGGGGGAAAAAGAAAAAAAAAAGTTTACAGGCTATCTCTTCTCTTGGGCAAACTTAGTTCTTTTATTTCAAAACAATCTGTATTAGAAAATTATTACAACTCAGACTGTCAAAGTTAGTGGGGATAATTTTTAGAAGCAACCTGACAGTAATCGCACTTCTAATATGTTTAGTCCTAGCCCCAACTTTTACGTTATGTGTTAATATTCCAACCAATGGCATGAGATAAGATCTTGTACTAAATTTGAAGGTTTCCTTAAGAGTGTTTTTGTCTCCCTTGTGATTATTTATGAGGCTTCTTGAATTTCTGAAAAATTCTTGACAATGTATATCAACACATATACCATTTCCAGCATAGTACAGCTCTCTAATCTGCTTATGTGCTGACATTTAACAAAACGGAAGCATTCATTACAACTAAATGCACAAGAGAGCCAGGTCTTTGCATGATCAGGAATATTTGCCTCTTGCTGATATAATTTGTTCCTGGACTTACTATTTATTTTGTATTTGAAAAACTGTTTCCCTTTTTTTTTTTCCAACTAGCAGGTACTAACGCCCTTTGACATTCATTTAACAAAAGTCTGCACTTAGAGTGAAGAGAAGGCATCCCTTCCAGCAGACTACAGATTTGATACCTATTGTTTATAAAACATATGCTTTTTTCCTAAGGAACTGACCCAAATCTACAGAAAATAAGGATTTTCTGCTGGTTACGGTAACAGCCTAGAACTCGGAAATATATTTAAGTTTAGATAGCCAAATTCTGTACAGACATTTTAATACTCTGCTCTCTCATGAGCTCCTTCTTCCTTAAAACCCCATGCATGTGTGGTTGGCTTGCTTATCCAGGATGCTGGAAGCTCAGAATCACCTCCAAGTCAAACATACTATAAAAGTCAACTACTTTGCAGTGCAGGTGAGAAAAGGAAGGGAAGGAAAGAAATGAGGAACCTGCTTTCTTTACTTTCAAAGCATTTTCAACTTGCTGGGGCTTTATTATATATTCTACCTTCCAGAGACAGCACAACCATGAATATGAACAAAAAACCTGGTAGTTCAAACATTTACGTGGGAAGGTAGACTTGGGGTTCAATTTCTGTACATGCCTTTCTTCCAGTGAACACAATATTAAATATTTAAACAATAATTAGATCAGGGACTGCAGCTGAGGTTTCCCTCTACATTTGTGGATGGCAAAACCAGCGCTGCATCATTAATATTTTTGTTTCCTCTCTCTCTTTTTTTCTCTCATTCTTGTTTAATGAATATTTAATCATTCCATATAATCATTCAACGGGAGTCAGGCTAAAATTTTTCTCCATTCCCACTCCCATCTCTAACCTAACCCAGCACGAGGGTAACCTCTCCTCTCTAGAATATGGGATGTAAGTGTTTGAATCTACCAGACCCATAAAGGTTATGAAAAAAATTTCTTCCAGTGTCTCAGTTAACTTCTCTCACTACTGCTCTAAGTTCTCTCACTACTGCTCTAAAAGATAAAAGCTGACCAGCACTTCAGCAGTTGTATTTTGAATGAAAGGCATAAACCCTGCTTGAAATAATAAATAAGTTTCAGGCATCTATCTTCAAAGCAAGTTCAGAAGTATGATGTTCAGAGTGGTGCATTAGCCTAAAAAATAATAACTAATATAAAATTACGGTGTGTAAAAAATGGCAGCTTTAAAACTCTCCACACCCTCTGTAGCATTTTCTATTGTATTTGTCTTATGACCTATGTAAATATACACCTGACTCTTTCTGTAAATACTGTAAATGCTGTATGTCAAATCTACCTTCTGGATTTGACTGGGATGCTGAGGCACCCAAATTCTTCTGTACTTTCTTTTCCTTGACTCAGTTCCCTAATCAAAAATTGGAGATTATTATCTTTCTACCAAGAAGGGAAGAGATTCACATTAATAATAAGGTGCTATGGAAAAGAAGGCATTTCAACATTGTGGGGTGTTCAGTTACTCTGATAAACAGTCCAGTAGCTACCCAAGACAGATGAACACAAGGAAATTCAAAAGTACCTTTCCTTTGATTTTCCTTGGACTTTTGGATTAGTTCTCAGAGCACCTATTTTCCAAAACAGTTCAGGGGTTACTAGTTCACCAGTACTGTTAGAAAAGCACTTTGTACCTTATAAACCTATTTTCTAAATGAATTTTCTGCTATGACTATGTATTCTGTGACACATTAATTGCTGCATTGTTAACATTACTGATTTTACAGCCAAACAATATTCTATACTAGTCGGTAGCAAAAAGCACAGTTCAGATGGCCCCACAGTGTTTATTAGCAGCAGTTACTGAAATACAAAAAATACTGCTATGTAATATAAGTTTGTGCTTAAACTTTAAATATAAGTGATTTGTTGTTTGGGAAGAAAAGCATGAAGAATATGTACTGCAACTTGTGTAACTCTTACCTATATGAGAAGTCACAACAAGATCCAATCTAGAAGTACTGCATTAGTATGCCCACTTTGCAGATATGCCTATGTCAAATTTGTGGCTGGTTCACACTGGCAGCACCTGATACAATTTCAAAGGCATGCTCCTTTTGGACAGTCACTTAATACTTTACCTTTCTTTGTCTTTCCTTCTTTGAACAAGTATTTGGGAATTATACCCCTTTAACACACACAACATGAAAAGAAATACAGTAAAAAAAAAAAAAAGATAAAGCATATAAAAGAAAATGAATGCAGGCAGGTAGAAACCTATAAAATATTTTATAGCGGATGTATAACTAAAAGATGAAGTGAGGTCAGCATAGGAGAATGAAGATGAACAGTGCAAATTTTAAGGAGAATTATGCACTGGTGGAAAGAGAAATTGTCAACCATTGAGGACTGTCTCTGTGTTGCACTGAAGATTCCTCTTCCCAAGATTGGATACTTGCATTAAAATGCCCAGAGAGAAAACCCAGACTAGACCAAATGCGTTATATTTATTAGCTATTTTGTACTGTGCAAATAACCCATACATTACTTGTACGTAGGAGTAGTTGATCACATTCCAGTAAAGATGATGAACACTAATTATTTATCGTACAAGCTATCTGGAAGCTGTAGGCTTTCTTATTCCAAGCAAATAACAGTGTTCTCCTATAATGCAACTCTATTCCAAAAATAGCTCTAAAAAATTGAATTGTATGGCTCCATGTGTATTGTCTTTCAATTACTCTTTATCATGTGCGCATTTTCTTTTTAATGCAATCGTACAAATTAATCCAGCACACACAATAATCTAGGAATTCTCTCTCTCTCTCTCTCTCATGCATTATCAAATATGCCCTCAGTAACATCGTGAAATTCTGAAATAATCAGTGAAACTGAATTGAGTAAATAACTCTTGTAGACAAAAGGACAGCCAGGAGTGGCACCTCTGTACAACTTATCTGAAATTACATGGTACAGGTGAGGCAGGGAGTAGAGATTGCACCTGACTCCCTTTTAGCTTTGCATCCCACAGGAGTGACCAGGAGCAAAGAGCTGCAAACTAATGCTCTCAATAAATCACCCTGTGGGAATGTGGCTACACACATTGTTTAGCTTCACTCATTAGGAAGCCTCATTTCTAAAAATGTAGAGTCTAGAAAATAATCATTGGTAGTGATAGACCTTTTTGTTTTACTACAGCCATTTGGAAAGAAAAAGCTAAACAAAGATGGAGGAGGTAAGGGGGAAAAAACTACTATCATTTTCCCCCTCCAGGAAGAGTCTAATTACAGGCTTTTAACAGCTCTGTAAGTGTACGATTTGTATCCAGAATTACTACAAACCAAAGAAGTCTGGTGCACTTATAAAGTTGTTTTTTGTTTTTGTTTTTTTAAACTAACACCAGGCTGATTAGAGTGTAACAGTGGCCAAACAGGGTCAGACCAAAGATCCATTAGTTTAATATGTTGAAAATGGCCAGTCCTACGTGCTACAAGAAAGAACAGAACAAGAGCAAATGTACACCTTATTACATTTAAATGTTGTCATCAGCAGGAATGGAATTAATAACAGTTTGTGCTATTCTTCTAAAACACTATATTCTTCAGTTTTTATTTTGCCGAGTGCACTGATGTTAAAATCCAAGATAGATTTGTTTACAGGAGAGTTTGTCTCATAGCAAATTCTGTTGGCACAAGAGATGTACAGAAGGCAAGTGGATTTGCTGTCCAATACCTAATTTTGTCGGTTCTTTGCTTGTCAGAGCTGACACAACGTAGCACAAGGCTCGCAGGATTACTATTTAAGGCCCTGCTGGCTAAAAGATGTCCTGCTCTAAGTCCAGAAGTATATCACTGAGTCACCTAGAAGAAAAAAGCTGTACGTAGGCAGCTGCATAACTTCTTACATCAATAATAAACTATGCTGCCAGCTTCACTTTTCAATACCTTAAAAAAATAAACCCTCAGCCAGTTCAGGTTTTGTACATCCATGGAACACCATACCAAGAATCTAGCTCTTAGAGCGCACAGCACATTAGCAGGGTAAGAGGGAAACATGTAAGTAGTAACAATGCACTATCAATAAGAAAGAAATTCTAGTCTTTTTACATTAAAGGTAACTGTGAAAATATATTAATGTAAAATTACTGATAGTCAGTCAAAAAAAAAAAAAATTAAAACTCCTCACTGACTACACACATTGGAAGAGATAAAGGCCTACCTCCAGAATATCTATCAGGACGTTCTCTTCTGGCTGCTTTGTGCTCCGGACGTTCTCCAGCAGGATAGAGTAGTAAACACCTTGCGGGTCAGACTGGTACAGGTTGTACGTGTCTGTCTGGTACCACTCCTGAACAGCCACAAATACCTGGTTTTCATCTGTACTGATTATCTGTAAATCCTGCAGAAAAAATAAGATACAAAATGACTAATTTCTCCATCATTTCTATTTTACAAACAATAAGTTGGCCAAGAGAGTTTAATACCGGGGATGGGGAGGAATGCATCTGAAAGTTCACTAACAGTAATCTATCAGCAGAATACTAATCAACATGCTGTATCCCACCACTCCGAGGTGGTCAGTCACTGCCTTTTGGTACAGGTCATCAGAGCACAAACCAGCTTAGTGAAGATCAAAATCATGAATGTGCAAAAGCTGTGAAGTGCTTTGACTTTTATGGGAAATGACTTCTTGAAAAGAAGGAAAAAAAAGGAAAGGAAAAAAGAAACTAAAGATTTTCCAAGATCTGCATAAGAGTCAATGAAAGACTGAAACAACATAAAAAAAACTAATCTAAAAAATAATCCTCAGGTACCTAGAGAATTAAGAACTGTTTTGTCCAGTGTGCTGGACAAAGCATAACACAGCACAAAGAGGATCAGATATAATTTAGAGCAGTTACATAGGAAGTAGTACCATCATGCACAAAGCTCATGTCTATTATAGTACATAACACTAATTTATCTATCTATGTGGACAGATCCACTTAAATATTCAACAGTAATAACATTCTGCATTCATCTCAGGAATTTCAGGCGTCTATATTGCAACAGCTTGCTTTCAGTTTTCTCGGCTTTTTCACTCCAAACTTCTCAGACAAAAAAATGCACAGCTGGGGAAAATAATTTAACACTAATATTAAACAGAAGAAATAAATCAGGAAGTAGCAACACTGAACTAAGCTTAGGAAACAGAAAAAAAGGACATGAGTTTGCAATAGGATATAGGAGCATAAAGGCACATGTTGGGACTACATATGAAATGAAATCTAGTCACGGAGACTGAAAACTTGTAAACTCTTTATGACCTTGGTACTTAACTGGGAGACTGTATCCAGTTCTGGTCACCTTATTACTGGAAAAATAACTAAGGCAATGGAGTGAATATTAAATAAAGCTACCAAAATGTCAAGAAAACATGAGTTTGGGGAAAATCGGCTTTAAAAAAAAAAATTAAGAAAAAATCAAGAAAATAACTTGTAGAACTCTAAGGAAAAAATCAAACAAATTCTGTAAGAATCCAGTTAAGACTGAAGAAAATGAGAGTAACAGAGCAACGCTGAATACTTGGTAAAGCATGGCAGTTATGCTGTAGGCAACACGCATGATGTGACTGAGGCACTTAAGATTAAAAAAAAAGACATGAATAGAAATAAAATAATACAATGGAAAGATTTTTAATATGAACAAAAGATGGTTCTTAAATAACAAATAATTTAGTAAAATTTAAACTACTTTTACATATGTGACACATCTCAACACAAAAGAACCTAAGTGAAGTTTCCTATCAATGACAGCTCAGTGCTGTTTCCAAAGACTCTCATGTTGAACTATGTACGAAAGTAGATTTTTGTTTAGCATCCCACGAATAGTTCTCTTTTTTCTCGTACTCAAAAATTACTTGGAAGCAGAGACTCTGGCAGAAATGCCAGCAAAACACAGCAACTGATCCCAACATGTTCTTTAAAAAGCCTCTTAGATGTACAGAACGCTTCATCTCCTGCCTTAAACCAGGGCAATATGAGGCTGGGTAGCCCACATTACCCCACATCTAAAACTGAATTCACCTATTCTTTTGCAGTGTGAGAAAAGCTCTCCTGATTATTCAATAAAGAAGGATGGAAGTGAAGGAGAGAGTCAAAAGAAGGAATAAAGAAACAGTTCTTTTTTTATGTGAAAACGTCTAGAAAACCCTTACTCTCCTGTGATGCCAGGAGCTTTCAGCAAAATTATCATCTACATTATCATAATAAAACATTTATACAGTGCCATAAACAAATGCAAACCTCCAGTGAAGGTAGGTAGGGCCCTTGCCTTGCCCCAGGTGCTGGTGGGGTGGCAGTGGTTGCCCGGGTGGCCCGTGGTGGCGGAGGTGAGAGCTGGGAGGACGGGCCCAGTGGTGGTTCTCCTGTCTCAGGGTGGGGTGGGAGCTGCTGAGCCAGCAGGAGCAATGCACAAAGAGCCACCACGTGTGGTGCAGAAGGACAGGAAGATGAATTTGGGGCAGACTGGAGGGATCAGGTGAAAAAAAGAGGGATTGGACCGCAGAAGTTTACTGCAGCAAATGAGAGTTTACTTTTCTCTTGGCAGTGACTGTTACCAGGAAAGAGGTTTGTACACTCAGACTGCTGGATGCCAATTTTTTCTGAGGCAACTTAACAGATCTCGTTTTAGCAAGTGAAATTCCCCTTGCGCTGACTTGAACTTTGTTCCTCCCATTCAGAATTTACATTTTCGTATTTCCAGTTCAGCCCTACTGCTATTTTCCTTTCACAGTGATTTCTTTTCCCTCAAGAAGCAAACCGATCCTTCAGTTATATTACCTTGCAACAATCCTGCACACCACTTTCTGCCCAGTCATCATATAATCTTCTGGGGAAATTAATTGACAAAGTAAGGAAAAGTACAAATTTCATGTCTGATTCTTAAATTAATCTTCTAAAATCCTGGATGACACAGTTTAAAACAAAGCTAACCTGTCATGCCACTCATATTATTCCTATCCTTGAAAGGTGAATTTAAGAAGAAGAAGAAATTGATTGACAAATACAGAGGCTGGGTCTTCAGTGTGCCAGGTCCAACCATACAGCCCAGCTACCCACTTCTCAACAGATGACAAGCACATGAAGACGGGATGCCAGCTATTATTGCTAGACAGAACTTACTGTCACTAAAGAGTTAACTAGTAAGGACATCTGAGGAAGAAAAAATATCTTGATGGAGGGAATGCAAGTTTTTATTGCTTTATCTAATTCATGGCCACAGATACTACCTTAGGCTGTAATCTCAGCAGATCCTATAAGGAAAGCATTTATTCTTTGATGATTTCATGCTTGGACTACTCCAATTGCCTTCTTGCTGGACCTCCTGCTTCCTCTCTCCACATTCTGCAGGCTACTCAAAAGTCCCGCTGATCATGTAATTTTTCTGTAATTATGCTATTCACACATGATTTATTCAGATTCATTTATAAAGATCTTCTTCACTGATGTTAGAGATCTTTATGATTTGGAACACTCCTTAGTCTCACTACTCAGATTTTTGTTTATCTCCAGGCTGCTTTTTTTGTATACATTCAGTATTTAAGCTCTTGTGCTTTCCTTTAATTTCCATGCTCAAATGAGAGAGTCCACGCACTTTCAGGTGTCCCAAGAATCTTTTTCCAGATTTGCCGTACCAACGATGTTGTTTCCTCTGTGGCATGCCCATTCCTCCATGGACATCCTTTCTCTCATATCTATACTTCACTTTTGGTCAGTCCAGTCTGCCATGTCTGCTTTGTTCCATGTCTTGCTGACCCAAGCATCCATGCTCTCGCCATTCTCACTTCTCTCTCTCTTTTTTGTTTTTGCAAAGCTCAGCAATGGCAATTTGTATCAGCACTAGACTGTGATTCCCAAATAACGGTATTCTCCATTTAGTTTATCTCATCTTCTTAGGTTGTAAGCTTTTGTACAGTTCTGAGATGCTACTAGCTGTATTGTCCAAAAATCCTTTTTTAACCTTACAACCCCATGAGATTTTGCTGTTCTGTTTGCTAACATGCTTCTTGTGCACTATATTCTGCAAATTCCTTTGTCACAATGTTTCCTTCATGCTCCTCTCTTTACTGGGTAATGTTACTAAGCACGGATATCTGCATGTTCATCACTAAAAGTCTGTGGAACTACTCATAGGTCCAAGACAGTGGACCAACCCAGGGCCAGGGATAGGACTACCTATAGGTACAACCAAAGAAGCCTGAAAAGTGCTCTAAAATCCACTATGCAACCAAGTCCCTATGGGTGGGTGAGAGTAGACAGAAAACAGTCTTCAAATAATGTAAACAGCCACCCCAAGGAAAATGGAATAAACTGTTTAAGTCTACTTGGAGTAAAATACTAGGTATAAATCACAGCTAAGGAGATTTAGGTTAGACATGAGAATATCCTTCTACAGTAGGGCCCGGTCATACACACTGAGGATAAAATGCTTAGGGAGGTAAAGTACTCTTCATCCTCGGGAGTTGTTATGAGTAGATTAGAGAAATATCTGTCAGGACAGGTTTAGGCAGATGATCATGCTTTGGAAAAGGACCTCTCAAGATACTTTCCATGTCTATTGTCTATGATCCTGTGAAAACAGGGGAAAAAAAACCCCACACCGTATTGAGATTACTTGAAATGTTACACATACAATGAGAAATATCATATAAAAAGACAGGATTTGGTTTTGGGGTTTTTGCTTTGGGTTTTCTTTTAATTGGGGGTTTTTTGGTTGCTTTTTCTGTTGTGGAGGGTTTTTTTCTGTTTGTTCATTTATTATTTTTTTTTTCTTAATTCAAGAGCTATAATTTCACGACTATGCTAAAGAAAGTAAACAATTTCCAGACAAATAAGTATTTCAACTTGATCATGGAATTAGAAATAAGGGCTGCTGGAAATCTGTTGCATCAGAATTAATTTTCTACAAAAATGCTAAATGAATCCTGAAGGTGATCAAAGACTGCGTATTAAAAACTGGTATGATTAAACAAGGCATCCAGTGACAGGTCACACCACTCTTGGTCTCTCAGGGACTTGTAAGCTCCTATGTTTGTACCTTACATCAGCAGAATAGAACATAATTGTTCAAATAAACACAAAGACAGTTTCTCAGTGATACTAGAAACAATTAGACATGTATAGAAGGCCAAATTGTGCCAAAAGATGAGCACCACTTCAAAGAAACTTTATATCACATGGAGAGACTTCATCTGCTAAACAAAATAAATAAATAAGTTTGAGGGTGTGCACGTGACACTGAAAGAACTGTCCATGTTCAGCCATGACATGGAGAAAAAGCACCCAAGAGCTCTTCCAGCAAGTACAGAGTAACAATCAAATATTACTTCTTAAAAACATCCACACTGCTTGGGAATTA